CGAGAAGCAACCGTAAACGAGTTATGTAACGCGCCTTCTCCTGTCGTGCGCGCGCCTTGTACGCCTGTATATGTACATACGTATAACCGAGAGAGCCGGCCATTATTACCGGCCGCATCGGGCACCGCACCGCTCCTTGCCATACCGCGCCGCGCCGCGCTGCGCCGCGAAAGATGACGACGGCCATTTTGCGCGAGCAACGTCCGTGACGACGCGTACTCGGCCGCGTCGGTTGGTTAAAAGAGAAACAATTAACTTCCCACCCGGGCTTCATATTCTTTCAATTTCCCGTCTCCGGCTTGCCGTCGCCGCCGCCGCCGCCGCCACCACCACCATCACCATCACCACCACCACCACCACCACCACCACCAACGCCGCCTCCGTCGTCGTTGTCGTCGTCGTCATCATTGTCGTCGTGATCGTTCGTCTTTTAAAAGGAACGAGCGCTTAGGTTCGCACTTGACGATGAGGGCGATACGCGTCGCGGCGCTCTTATAATCGTGCATACTTTTTTCTTGTTTCAGAGATTCTGTGAAAAAAGCGTGGAGACACAGTGTGACGACGGCGACGGCGACGGCGACGGCGACGGCGACGGCGACGGCGACGGCGACGGCGACGGCGACGGCGACGGCGACGACGACGACGACGACGACGACGACGACGACGACGACGACGACGACAACGACGACGACGACGACGACGACGACGACGACGACGGCGGCGGCGGCGGCGGCGGCGGCGGCGAGCGATGACGAAGAAAGGAAGGAAGAAAGAGAAAGGAAAATCCCGAGTCATCGCCGAGACCCCCGAGAAGAACCGGTCGCCGCGGCACCAATCTTTTATTATTATATTTCTTCGGGCATTGTTATTAATTCTTCACGGCGGCGGGCGCGGTTAAGAGCGTAAGCTTGTCACGTTCGAGGACCCGTGACCCACCCCCGATCGGCCGAGAAAGCGCTGTGTTTGCAGAATTCATTGAATCATTGCCATTCCGCGTGGCACGCGCGCGCCAACGCGCGTCGCCCCTCGGGAACGAGCCGCGAGCCTCCGATGGGGAGGCAATTTTTCAACGGATAATCCCATTCCGCGGGGCGATCGCGAGGTTTCTGAAAAGCGGGGGGTTGGGCGACGTGTCGGAAATATAATTGCACCACGCGGTTTGTCCTTTCCCTCTCTCTCTCTCTCTCTCTCTCTCGATCGATCGAACGATCACTCTCGTCCGTTCGTTAGTTCATTCGCGTAATTACGATAAATCAGCTCGTGCGCAAACGATGTCGAGGTAAAAAGGGAGACGAATTCCGAACGAGATCTACGCGCGTCACCGGCGCGAGACTGGAACGAATGGTAGTTTGTCGTGACTTCCCACGCGATTACATCCGTTCGACACGCTATTACGTTGCTTATTCTGAAGAGATTTCGTCGACCCACCGCGCGCGGCCAAGTAACAAATAATACACGCAGGATCGATGTCAGGATGTGTGTTGTGACGTTTCGCGCGTTCGCACTTTTCGAGATCACTCGCTGCGCGCGCCCGCGCACTCATTTGTTTACATTTGTTCCCTTTGTCGCTCTCGTGCTTCTTGCTATCGTTTCGTCGACTCTTGCTCGACGTCGTTTCATTCCACGATTCGATCGCTCCGCGAGTCCGAGTCCTTTTGACTAAAAGACCCGAATGAAATGCTCGAGCTTCCGAGATTGTACTCGGCAGGAGAATGTCTCAAAGAAATGCCTCCGCTTCGCTTTCGGTCGCACGATTCATCATTGTATCAACGACGGTAGCGTAACACTATGCAATTACGTAGCCGTTTAATGGCAGAGAGTTCCCGAGAGATGACCGACTCGAGAGAGTCGCATTGACTCCTTCCTCGAAAGAGAACACACGGAAAAGAAGTAATCATAGACGCGCGACGGGAGAATCGGGTCGCGGTTAAAGTGCGTGCGCGAGGAACAATGGCCGCCGGAGATGGAGGAGGACGCTGTCTAAGCATATTAATTTGTGCGTTTTATATGCGTGGCGAATTACGTACTCCGCGGTGAAACAAGCGGATCGTCGCATCCTGCATTTGAATAATAATTGCGACCTAAGCTCTCTCGACCTTAAGCGCGCGCGCGCGCGCGCGCGAGCCCGAGCGAGCGATTGTCGTTTGTCTTTTCTCGTCGGGAAGCCGACTTGTAATCAAGAAGCGCGCGTCTCCTCCCTTGAAGGTACCCATTTCAAGTTTCTTTGTCGAATCGTTGCAAACGTCTCAACATTATACGAGAAATGACTATTTAGCGAATATTTACGCGAACGCCTTTATGACATCCAGTATACAGTCATGTTTCGCTAATAGCGTTAATCTAATTTGCTCTTTGAGAAAAGGATGCGTCAACGACAAAGGCAAGCAGGCAGGAAGGCAGGCAAGCAGGCAGGCAAGCAGGCAGGCAGGCAGGCAGGCAGGCAGGCAGGCAGGCAGGCAGGCAAGCAGGCAGGCAGGCAAGCAAGTAGACAGACAGTCAAGCAAACAGGCAGGCAAACAGACAGGCAAGCAGGCAGACAAGCAAGCAGGCAGGCAGGCAAGTAGGCAGGCAGGCAGGCAGGCAGGCAGGCAAGCAGGCAGGCAGGCAAGCAGGCAGGCAAGCAGGCCAGGCAGGCAGGCAGGCAGGCAGACAGGCAGGCAGGCAAGAAGGAATAAAGAGAAGAGCTTCGAGGGCCGCGCTTACGAGGATCAAAGATTACTCCGGTCAGATCGACATTGTTGCGAGCGAGAACGTCTGGCTTGGTAAAAAAGAAAGGGAGAAGAGAAAACACCTAGAGTCCGGCATTATAACGAGGCTTATTATTTACGCTGATCATTATTTTGACGGCGCTGATCGGCCACCGTCCATCACTTTCGTTCCTCCTCTCGTTCTCCCCGCCATTCTCCTTTCTTTCAAGACCCCGCTCCACCGCAGATCCCTCTCCCCATCCTACCGCAGCCGCCCTTTTATTATCCTAAAACTCTCCGTAAGTGTCACGGCCAAGACCGATATCATAAATTCGCTGCCGCTCGAAAGAATCACCGTAAAACGAGCCGCTCGCGCGCACACGCACGCATGCACACACACACACACACACACACACACACACACATATTCTCTCTTCCCTCCCCCCCTCTCTCTCGGTTCTAGCCAAAGTACCAAGTTATTAATTAATTGCAAGCCCGCTCGTGGAGAATGTTCTTCTTCGTCGCGTTAATCCCCGCGCAAAGAATCACCCTCGGCGGCGGCGATGAGATCGTCAAGTCCCTAACGCACCCTAATGTGACCGCTAAATCGACTAGCGCATTGAAGCTGAGTTACGCTCGATGCGTGTGCATTAACATCAACCGTCGAGAGAGCTTTACGCGCTCGTGCGCGCGATTTGATGCGGAGAGAGAAACACGAGCGTAATTAAAAAGTGTATATCCCCCGAAACACTTAGAAATCACGAAATCACGCAGAGCGGCCGCGGGGGCTCGTCGCGTCGCGTCGCGGCGAGAGCGGCAAAAACGCGCGAGAGAGCGCTTTTTCATTCCGCGAGGCGTGGTCGTCGTAATTGCGTGTTCATTTGTCAGAACATAAACGGTAAAGCGGCTTAGCAGTCGTTCCCTTTGATTCGAGCCCGCTGTTTTTCACGCGGTGTAGTTGCAGCACCGTCGTACACTGGGACCAGATGACACTTTTTGCTTGAAAATTCTCTAGCGACCTGAATTTCCAACCGATCATCGACACCAGTGGATGAGATTGATCCTGAATAAATTCCGAAGAAATCTGTCTAGCCGAAATTTTGAAAAACATTATCGGTTCAGGGTTCATGGGTTTAGTCTTAGGGTATGTCGTTAAAAGTTTATTGTTTAAAGTACAGTGTCTTGGGTCTAGCTATGGCTAGATTCTTGGACTATTCGGGGCTCTTAATGTACACGGCTTCATGCATCCACGAGCTGAAAAGTTCTCGGATTGATAGATTCCTAGGTTGATATGCTTAACAGGATATTATCCTATATTTGATATATTTGTATTTTGGGCATATGAATTTTGGATTAATGGGTTTTTGGTTCAAGATCGATAAATCTCGAGTCGTGTCTGTTGATTGGTTTCATAATTTCAATCCGCTATTAGATAGAAATAAGTGTCGAATAATGAGTATTTCACAAGTTTCTCGCGTTTAACGCGTTTAATTTTTCCTCTTTTGGGGTTAGTAATTCGAGAAAAAATTTCCTTTTTTAATTTTGACAAGACAGATCTCTTCGGAATTTACTCAGGATCAACCTCATCCATTGGTGTCGATGATTGGTTGGAAATTCAGGTCTCTGGAGAATTTTCAACCAAACAATGTCATCTAGCCCCACTGTGCGTCGCACCGCGCCTGCCAAAGTCGTTAGCGGTTTCCCAAGGGGGTGACTACTTGCGAAATATTGTATTCGATAACGCTAGAAATTTCGCGTCGAACACGAATATCGTTCGCGGAATATGTCGCGCGGATTTCTCCGCGACGTTGAACCTCGCACATCTCTCTCGCCAAGTGTGCACGATTGAGAGAACCCGACGGAGAGCTGTTGAAACGAAGCCCGTTTCATCGCTGGGCTGCGCGAGTGTGTCTCAACGCGCTCAAGATGTGACGATAACGATAGCGATGATGTAAAAACGTAGGTAAAAGGAAAAGGGAAAAAGAATAATATTATTAATAGTAACGATAATGACGGAGGTAATTACCATTGTGCGGCGGGATCCATTACGAACCCTTAGGATCGACGGATCGCGTGCGTCCCGGCGCTATCTGATCGTTACAAATACAAATAACGGCGTAATGGGCATTGCGTGTGCGCATTGATAACGCTCGTATAAACGAGTACTTGTTAGTATAGCCGGCGAGTTGTGTAATATGAGACGCGCGCGAGCGGAGGAAAATTCGCGAGCCGTTTTCCACCGCCCGCCTCCCCGCCTCGCCGCGGCAGAAGAGAGCGGCGGCGGCGGCGGCGGGTAAGGTGAAAAAAAAAATTGTGCGCGTTCTTCCCCGCCGCCTCCGCGAGAAATCGACACACACGACAGAAAGAAATGGCCGTTATTATGTCGTCGCTCGCGTACCGGGCGATCCGAGGGAGGAACTCTTATCTGCACTTTATCTGACCGTGGCGTGGCCGACGTGGCGGAGAGCGGAAAAGCCAGTCGGCGGAGCGGTGTCGACGCGCGCGGAATCGCGCTCGCTTTCTCCGCACGGGGAGGAGAGAGGCTGGCGAGATCATGCTGGAGAATTGCCGATTGCTGCTGTACGCGTCGCGGTTCTACGGCTGCCATCCGCACAGAATTCGGGAGCGAGAGACGCTCGCGGCCGCGCGTTTCCATCCGCTGATGCTCTACTCGGTGCTCGCGTGCGGCGCGTACTGCTTGGCGGCGTACAACGCGGATGGCACGGTCTCCTGCGTGCCCAAGGGCGCGATGATCGTCGGCTGCTTCCTGCAGCAGATCGATCGCTACACTCGCGGTCTCTTCATGATTCTGACGACGGTCCTGTCGTGCCTGCGGCATCTGGAATTCGAGCGCAGCCTCGCCGCCGTGCGTAAATTCGACGACCTGGCGCGGGCGGCGACGGCGACGGCGACGGCGACAGCGACGGCGACGGCGAATCGGCGCACGCAGTGGCTCACGTTGCTCGGGATCCACGCCGCTTGGGCTGCGTTCTGCGGCTTCGCCGTCTACGTCACGTACGGCAAGTTGTCGGTCCTGACGATCGCGATACAAAGCATCACGCGCGCGGCCTTCTCCACGCAGGTCGCGAAATTCTGCTTCCTCCACGACGCGTTGCGCCGCAGGTTTCGCCTCGTCAATCGACTGTGTCGTGCTTCGCCACCCGGCACCACCGCGACGACCCGCCGACCAACAGTCGTCGCGCCGGCTAACCCGAGTCATCACGCACCAAGTACGATACTGATTATTCCGCCGTTTTAATCCTCGCTCTCGACCGTTCTTATCAGCTTCAACACATTTACACATACATTTACACATGGCATCGGTACTTGCGCCTTCTCTTTGTACAGGGCTGGCCGTCGGCGTCAACACCGTCGCGGTCGAGGATCTCACGATCTTGCGTCTTCAGCGATTGCACCGGTGTCTCACCGACGCGACCAAGCATCTCGGTAGCTACTACAGCCCGCAGTTGATCTGCTGGTTCGTGTGCTTGTTGACCGACATCCTGATGTACATTTTCTTCAGTCTTTACACGGTGAATAGCGCGAAGATGATTATTCTTCAGTGTATGATGCTCACGTACTTGTCGCTTCAAATCATCGCCCTGAGTCGCGTCTGTCACTTGACGTGCGATCAGGTAAGCGTATCGATCGACTTTGACACGGTCGCGAGAAAGAGAGAGAGAGAGAGAGAGAGAGAGAGAGAGAGGGGTGTCTCGGGAGTGGCTCTTTTAATGCCGCGTCTAATCTTCTTTCACAGGCAAACGCGCTGGCGAGAATGGTGCTCTCGGTGGAAACTTCCGTATTCAGACGCGACGAGTTTTTCACTGTAAGTAATCTCGAGTGAACGCATGGACAATATTTCGTATTATCGTCACTTTTCCCGCTACGTTTTGATATTCTGACCCTTTGCACTCGGAGTAGTCTCGAGCGGGTTGCCTACCGACAGCTCGGCGGCACATTTTTGGGGAAATGTGCAAACAGGAAACAGATCGCGTCATGTCAAATAGTAGTAGTTTTGAAAGCAAGTAATTTATTCTAATGATATCTGGTTTATACGAATCTTTAGACACTGAGGAACATACTCGTGACAAAAAACTAAAATTTTGTATCTTGTACTTTTCTAACGTGTGGTGACGTGTGTGAAGCAGGCATCGCAAGTTCGTCTTGCCATCTTGCCGTCTTCCGTAAACTGAATGAAACAAATGGGTCAGAAATTTCGAACTGTAAATCGAACGAAATCTCTCACAAGATGACATTTATTAAAAGAATATTACCTTTCCCTTTCCAATTTTCCAACTTTTCTGACTTGGTGCAGGTGACGATCTATGACGATCGCTCGATACTTCAATACGATCTGCCTTCAGCTTTGAAAGTCTCTTTCTCTTAGGCTACAGTCTAAGGCTTGCTTGCTTATCTTCTCAAATGGCTCAAATGTCATGTGCTGTCATCAGCAAGAAAACATGTGTATTTTTGAAAAACTTGCGCTCGCATAAGTTTATCCTGTATAATCTAAAAGCTAATAAAGTCTGCATGTCCCCGGAAAGGGGGCATCCGAGTGCAAAGGGGAATTCAACTCCCCGCGAGATTGGTCCCGAAAACGCAAAGGACATTTGTCTCACTTTTAGGAAGCGATCGAATTGGGAGTGTACCTTCGAGCGCAGCCGTTACGCATCAGAGTCTTCGGCCTGTTTAACGTGGACAACCGATTTCCGTTCTTGGTAAATTGATTCGCTTAATTCGAGCTCGCGCGGATTCTCTCTGTGTCTAGGCATTCTTTGTCGCTCTCTTGTTCATCAGTGTGCGTGTGCTTTACGTAGGTGTTTGGCGTTATACTGATGTACGTGATTCTAGCTTCGTCTATTCATTGAATGAGGCTCGCGATATATTGACCGAACGGCAACGACAAACAGGAAAATAAACGACTCGAAGAAAATGCGTGTTTGGCTGTTTCGTTTCTTGAATCTCTTTTGTTTGGGCCCTCAAGAGAGAGAGAGAGAGAGAGAGAGAGAGAGAGAGAGAGAGAGGAGCCACGCAAAAGTTGCCTTCTTCTCTTTTACTTTTTATCCCGTTCTTATCAACTGATCCGCTCCTCGTATCTCCTTTTCACGAGTCATATTGGGCTCTTAAATATTTCTCACAAATCAATTCTCACATTCCGCCGCTGCTGACACCGTTATTGGTAATCTTGATATTTCCGCGCAGCGTGCGGCTAAATGATTATCGATTGTCCGTTCCCGTGCACTATGGAAAGCGAATCTTCAGCTACGATCTTTTCGATTATCTAGCGTGAATTTATCAGTAACGTGCTTAGTGTTGACGGTGCGGCGAAGAAAATTCATTTCGAATTAGCTGTGTGTCACGGCGTCAACTTTGATTGATCCAACTGCTGCGTATGAGTGTGTGTGTGTGTGTGTTTTCACGTGTTTATATCGTAAACAAGATTACAGTGCGTTGCGGCTGATTTTTCAAACGCGAGATTAGTCGCGCAGGCGCATTAATAACGCACCGAATTCATCAATCCACTCGGCTACTGGAATCGAAAGTGTCGACGCGGAGGCCGGCTGCCTTATCGGGGAGAACACGCGAGGAACGTCGCGCGGCAACCCTTTTATCAGTTCGCGCGATAAAAGGTTGCATCGATCGCTCCGCGTTTAACATCGCGTCACGCAAAAAAGGGGCAGCAAGAGCGAGAAAGAAGGCACGGCGACGGCGTTAGCTACGAATGCGCGCGTTACCGCGCGCGCGCGCGCGGGGATTCGTACGTCGCGCGCGTAATAGATATCTCGTAAATAAAGTTCTCGAACGGGATACTATTAGACGCGTATATAGCACGTAATCGCGCGCCGCGATCGAAAGCAGGTCTCATTATACGAGCTGGTATCGAGTCGAGCTACTTAAGGCGGCGGGAGGGGACGGCTGGTGGTGGCGCGATCATTGGCCACGGGGTGAAGGCGAGAGCAGAGAGAGAGAGAGAGAGAGAGAGAGAGGATCGAAGGGTATATACGTTTACGACACACGTTGCCAGCCCGTGCCGAGGAGGATGAATCCTAAGCAATTTCTCGCTGGTCGGAGCTCTTTGATGCTTTGAACTCTCACCGCGCTGACCGATCCTCGCGCTGTAATCACGCGGAGCTTCGCCACGCCCCGAAAAACACCTCGGACCCGTACACCTCTCTCTCTCTCTCTCTCTCTCTCTCTCTCTCTCTCTCTCTCGCTCTCTCTCGCTCTCTCTCTCTCTCGCTCTCTCCTTCGTTCTCTCGTTCTCGCGCGCGCTACCACCTTCTTCTCCCCCTACCTCTGCGCCGTTTCTCTCTCTCTTTCTCTCTCTCTCTCTCGCCTCTCCTGCACCGCAGTACCGACTCTCTACCTCCTCTCTCACCTTGACTCATCCCCTTCTCGCCTGGGCCGTGTTGCGCGTCCGTTCGCCGACGTCCTCGCTCCCTACAGACTCGTAATCTCGGCCGAAGAATCTGATTATTCTAAACTCTCCCGATCGACAGGATTTACCGTCTCGATCCTATCTCGCCGTTGCGAGACGTGCCGCGCGGCCTCGCGCGAGATGCGGATATTATCGTCGTTTCTATCGGCGTCTCGTGCGTGCGCAATCTCGCCGCTCGGCGAGACGCCTCGCGAATTTGCCGTACGTGTTTTCGGGCGTATTAGTCCGGATAATAGAGACCGCGGAGGCGCGAAACAGCCGAAGAATGAGAAGAGTGCCGAGAGATTATTTCACACATGCGGAAGATTCAAGTTATCGGGCAATTTTTGCAATTCCGCGTCTCTCAGACACGGTAAAACGTAAACAGTGAATGCTGTCGGTCGCATTGCGTGCATTGCGACGTTACTTCCGAGCGAATAACCTTCACGATCAACGTTTACCGTATCTGAGAGACGACGTTGCAAAAACTCCCTGTTTAGCCGTTTAGATAAATAACCTCGTGGCATCTGTCTCTCTCTCTCTCTCTCTCTCTCTCTCTCTCTCCCTAGTTTAACAAAGAGATACACGATAGAAAACGCATCCATTTGTCTATCGCGCGCGGATAATGCGGGTGGATTATGCCGTTCAAATTATCTCCGCTCTGGAAACAAACAAAAATGTCCACGACATCCACGCGACGATATATCAATTTGTCGATATATCGGGAGATTATGTCATCGATATGCATCGGCCAAACCGCACACACAGGCCGGCGAAAAAATCGGCGAACGAACAAGAGCGCGTTACCGCGCTGACGTAGAGGAGCGCCGCGCGCGCGCTCTCTCTCCCTCCCTCCCTCCCTCTCTCTCTCTCTCTCTCTCTCTCCCCCCCCGCGCTCGCACCGGGCGCTGCTGCATCCGGTGGTATCGAGAGGTCTCACCATTACACCCTATTACGTACGCCACTGATCATGCCACGGGATCGTCGATCCACCACTCCTCTTCTTCGCACTCGTTCCCGATGATCGGAGTTGCTTCGCAGTTGCGGCGCGGTTGCTAAGAAGAGGTGGCGCAGGGAGGGAGGGAGGGAGGGAGGACGCGGGAAAAGAGCCCCTTGGAGAGAAACCGCGGTATTCGGCCCGGCCAGGCGTGAGGTTGCCCGCGCTCTCTTTCTCTCTCCGTCGAAACCGCGCTATAATACATTGGAAGAATGGCGAGCGGGAGCGAGAGAAGCTCGTAACATCTTGCCTACCTCGTCTCGCTCTATCGTTTGCGCGGCTCGCTCGTTTCACGCCTCGCTTCGGCTTTGCCTTGCTTCGACTTACCTCTCTCGCCTCGCCGCCCCGCTGCTCTTCTCTTCTCTTCTCTTCTCTTCGCTTCGCTTCTCTCCTCTCCTCTCCTCTCCTCTCCTCTCCTCTCCTCTCCTCTCCTCTCTTCTCCTCGCCACGTCTCGTCGCGTCTCGCCTCGCCTCGTCCCGTCCCGTCCCGTCCCGACCTGCCTCGCCTCACCTCGCCTCGCCTCGCCTCGCCTCGCCTCGCCTCGCCTCGCCTCGCCTCGCCTCGTCTCGCCTCGCTCACCTTGCCGTTCCACGGCGTTCCGAGCCCGAGGTGCCCGAGGTGGAGGATGCCGAAGGTGGTATTAATTGGCGAGGAGCCCGGTCGCTTATGATTAGCCCGCGCAGCCGCCGCCGATCCTCCTTCGGAAACCGACCTTGTATCTACTTACAAGCGTATGTACATACGTACGTACGTACGTACGTACGTACGTACGTGCGTGCGTGCGTGCGTATGTATGCACTGCTTGGAGCCTTCGATACTTGGGGAATCGCCGTGACCATAGACACAAGCGTAAACTCAAACGAGGACGAACCAATCGGGATATCGGGATCTGGGTTCGAGCATATCTAGAAGCAGACGGAGATGAGAGATGAGAGACGAGAGACGTGCGCGCGCGCGTGCGTGCGTGCGGCGGATTGAATCTAAGCAGAGGTAACATAGGAGATCTTAACGGAGATTTCAACCTCTAGTTACCCGAGCCGTCCGTTTCGCCGCGCCAGCGCGGCGTCGCTTCTGTCTTTCGCGAGCGTTCGATGCATGGCGTTACGTTCGCATGGCCGATACGGGCTCTCGATAATGCGTCGGGATGTATCACCGGGAGATATCGGGCGATTTAGGATCGGACGCTAATACAGCTGGGCAGGTAGGTGCATGCCAAGGTGAGATAATTACAGAGCGGATCTCGGCCGCCAAGTCAAACAACCTAAAACATCGACCTGTGCCTCGCCATAGGCGCCCGAATCCGAGGTGGACGAAACATTTTCCATTTGCCGTGCGTTCTCGGAGAGAACACGCGCGCGCGTGTATCAACGCGGGACTCGACACGTAAAGGCGGCCGTTCGTAAAGCAGGTAACCGTCCGCCCGCCCGCCCGCGCGCGCGGGAACTTTTGGTCGTCGGCGGGATAGCAGCCGGGCTCTTTTATTCCGAGTCCGAGATCCGGGCGAGCTAATCGATTTGAAATTGGGCCCGTGACGGTCTTCTTTGACGTACCTCGTGCTCGTTCAATTTATTTGGTGGCTCCGACCACCCTGGCGTAACCGGGGCCTCCGCATTGTTCGTAACGGACACCGGACAACAGTGCCCGCACTTTTTTTTACACGGCATCGAAGACGAATCACCGCCGTCACGGTACTCGCGCGTACCGAAATATCTTTTGTCGCTCGCAAAATTGAAAATGTCCGTAAACCGAAGTAAGTGATGTAGACGGCGCAACGCTTCCTCCCCCCTCCCCCCCTCTCTCTCTCTCTCTCTCTCGCTCTCTCGCTCTCTCGCTCTCTCGCCCTCGCTCTTTTTTTTGTCAGCAAACTGCGTCTTACGAAATTAATCGGAGTTTGTCCCTCGTCTTTTTTTCCCCCGGGTCGAAGCGAAACAGCAACTGAGACAGAGTGAGAGGAGGGAAGGAGAGGTCGGTCGTCGGGTCGACCACAATCGGTCAAATTAGTCGGGTTTCCACGGGGTGTGGCTTGGGTTAGTTACGCTTTAGGTGTCGGATGGGTTGGAGAAACAATTTGTTTGTTCTGTTAGCGGCGCGCCACGCTAATGACACGTTACGTCTCGACGACGCGATCGAGACGGGACAAAGTACTAGCCGAGTATCCCGGAGTAAACCGAGTAGCCCGGAGAGTCGTTGCCGGCAACACGGGAATTAATTGCGTTAATCTCGCGTTTTACGAGCGGCCTGCACGTATCACAGGCCGGCATATAGATATCTCGTCGTCGAACTCGGTCCGCCAGCTTCGCGCTGGCGAGCGGCACAGAAGAGAAGCGCGAGCGATCTGAAATTCTCAGAGATATTTTAAGGATTCCGAGGGCGCGTCGTAAAACTCTCCGCTTTACCGCCGGCAAAAGATCGAACGTTGGCAAAGAGGAAGAAGAAGAAGAAGAAGAAGAAGAAGAAGAAGAAGAAGAAGAAGAAGAGGAAGAGGAGGAAGAAGGAGAGAAGACGAA